GATCTTTATGATGCTGTTTCACTATCTCTTTTCACTTGTTTTCTTGGCCTTTCCTTTCATTCCCGGAAATACGTGGATGGACCGTAATTCATAGTGTGCTTGTATAAGCTCTCTGCGTGGTCTTTGGCTGCAGCAACGGAAGACAGTGAAAAGTGCCAGCATTTTATTGACTAACAAAAACTTCAATGGAACAAACCTGGGCGTCGCACAAACTATCCAACGGAGGGAGAACGTTAGTCATATTGAGGAGGGCAGTTAGTATCGCTAGTCGTATCAGGGCGTAGCTCGCGTTAGGTTTGGGACTCGACGCCTACGATTTAGGAAGGGGTTTATAAGGAGTAAATTAATGGAGGGAAAAGGAGGGCAAAGAAATGTATACAAGAAATGGTAAGAAATGTATACGACTTAATGGACCGAAACATTTCTTACCTAATTTATAATATCTATTTATATCTTTCCTTTTTATTCTTTTTGAGTTTTTCCATCATCCACTTTTACATTTTCCAATAAAATTTCCAATTAACCTCAAATGTATACGACTTAATGGACCGAAACATTTCTTACCTCCTTTAATACTTCTCATTTTTTCCATACTTCCTTTCTTACTTTTTCCAACATCCTTTCTTATATTTTTTCTTCATCATTCTTATATTTTTCTTTTAACCTTAAAAAAAAAAGGGAGTAGTAAGTAGGGCTGGAGGGAAGTAGTCCGAGTACTTAGGATTACAACTGTCCAGCTATGTTGCTGTTGAATTTTACGACATTTGCTACATCCCATAGAATCTCTTTACTGGCCAGCTCAGCAGTTCTGCTGATAAAAACATCTGACGAATACTTTTTTTTGCTTTTTATTCCCGTCTCTTTCCCCCTTCAAGTTATTTTCGTTGTCACATGGCGATTAGGGGCTGTACTGATGATTCCCACTCCTAACCGCATCTCATACTTTCTGTGTTTACAGCTTAGGGATGAAACACAGGCAGACCCCTTTTTTTATTACATACTCCTCTGTACATAACCCTTCTACATGACATACAGTTTACCTGCATTTCCTACTCAACGATCTTCTCTAGCCTCTTTCAATTTTCTCCCCTTTCGTACACCGATCTGCTGGCGTCGGCCGGACCGTTTTTTAATTTGTTTATATTTTAATTTCTGACCCTCGTTACATCGGCCAGTGTTTGCAGCCCTCCAGACGGGCTGTTTATAGTTTCCATTAATATGATCCTGCTGGGGACTCCAGGGCTCGTACAGTTCTTTAGTTGTTTCGAGAAGCCCTGGCAGGCATTAAGCAACTATCATTTTGTCCCGAAAATTGCTATTTACAGTTATTTTATCAGCGTTAGTTTTATTACGATGTTTTAAGAATCGCAAAATTAAATAAATAGCAACGCGCATCAGACTAGCCGGTGCGATCATGCGTTTTGTGCAATTCAGCCCAT